TATATTTAGGGTTTAGATTATAACAAAATTTTTGTGAATTTCGTGATCAACTAATCTATTATAAATTTATCGTTTGTGAACAAGTATCTACAGAAGCAATCGATTTGCATGATGACGGAAGTAGAGTGTGCTGAGTTACCGCAAGAAATCATTGAATCAATATCCGAAAGGCTCACAATCTACTCTGACTATCTCCGATTTCGGTGGGTCTGTCGCACCTGGAATTCCTCTGTACCCAAAACCCCTCTCCATCTACCACCTCAACTCCCATGGCTCATGCTTTCTCATAAATCCTTCTTCGACCTCACCGCCAACAAACTCCACCTCCTCGATCTCCCTCTATCTTCTTCTCAGGCCACTCGTATCTGCGGTTCTTCCTTTGGCTGGCTCGTCATTCTTAACCAAATTTCTGAAGTTAGTCTTCTCAACCCTATAACACACATCACACTTTCTCTTCCTTCTCTCTACACTTTGCCAGAGTTTGTTAGAAAGCATTTGGATAATAATAACAACCGTTTCGTTAACAAAGTTGTCTTGTCATCTAGCCCTTCGCATGGCGACGACTTTGCTGCATTCGCCATTCTTAATCCTAATCAGTTAGCATTCCGTAGAAAAAGCTATGATTCTTGGGTTCTTTTAAGAGTGAATGAAAATCACCTATGGATGGACGTTGTATCCAAAAACGGTTTGTTTTATGCTGTGAGCTCAGAAGGAATGATAGCGAAGTGTGATGTTGAAAGTTCTCATGTCTCCATTATTAAGACGACAGACTCTATCAGTTTATGGAATGCAATTTACTATGTTGTGTTTTCCGGAGAGGACATGTTGTTAGTTTATAGGTATTTACTAAAGGAAAATGTATCTCAAACAGAAAGGTTTAGAATTTTAAAGCTGAATTGGAATATGCTAAAGTGGGAAGAAATTCATACTTTGGGGAAAACACTTTGTTTGTAGGGCAAAAGTCTTGTGTTTCTTTTTGTGCTGCTTGTTGGATGTCGTACAAATTGTATCTATTCTGTTAGGAAAGATGACATTAGCGTCTTTAGTTTATCAGATAAGAGCATTGCGTTATTGGCCCATTATCCACTGAACTTAGATCGTCAGTTGGGATGTTCAATTTGGATTACACCAAATCCGCAATGACCTACAATTGTATCTGGCATTCGATTGCGGATTGTGTGAGAATCACATGGATGAAAGATTTAAGTGTTTTGGACACTTCCTATAATGGTTTTTCAAACTGGTGAAAAAAACCTCTAAAGAGTTCGCATGTATCATTTGGTTGGTGATGTCTTGGACGATTTGGTGGACTCAGAACCAAATCATATTCAATGATATGATTGGTAAAAATTGAAGACATCCCGCTTCGAGTCATCCACACATCTTTGACTGGAGTATATAATTGGACTTTCCCCTTTTTGTAGTTTTTATAATTGGTATAAATCTCCACTAAATTTTTTGGTTTAGGAATTATATAATACATGGTGTTCCCTACCGTTTGTGGTGGTGATATGGGTGTTGATCCCAAATTTATGTAGAAGGATTTGTGTACTCCTAGTATGCTATTAAATGAAATTATTGTTTATCAAAAATAAAAGCTTTTAGTGTTATTATTCAAACAAACTTCATAAATTTTTTATTCAACAAGTAAAATGTTTAAATTCAATTCAATGTCTTTTAGTACACTACTAGAAAAAGGATCTCTACTACGTAACAAGTTAAATTTTAAAATAGAACTTTAAAGTTAATATTTTTTTTAATTGTAATCGTATATTATTATAACATTATTTAAATAATACGAGAAATTATTTTGATTTATTTTATAAAATTTTCTATCATAATCTATATTGTAAGTGTTAATTGAAAAATATATGTTTGTCGGTATATCTTATAATAGTATTTAATTAAATTCATTTATATCTAACCACACTAACAAAAAAAAAACATTATACTCCCTCCATTACATTGCTATTTATAATTTTTTTTAATAATTTATATTCATTAAACAATTAATGTATCTAATATATATATATATATATATATATATATATATATATATATATATATATATATATATATATATATATATATATATATATATATATATATATATATATATATATATATTCCAAATAAATCATTTATGGAATAAACTTAAAAAGTCAAAATTTATTTATAAAAAAGAATGGAGGGAGTGTGTGCTAGCTAAAAGTACAAATATGTGACATTCGTATACTGGTAGCGGTGACCAGACTCTTTAGAATTTTTCTGTAATTTAGGGTTTGTCAAAGTCGTGAGAAAATCTTGTTTGATGGTGTTTTTCGTTATGGTAAGAGCGTGGTCGTCTCAATTAATATTGAGGCCTAAAGAAAACTTTAAATAAATCTTGTTTGAAAAACTTTTTGGGTTAAAATCAGAGTTCAAAATTTTTTAAGAAAAATTTTAGAGTTATGCAGCGAAAAAAAATGTAGAGGATAAAATGCAAAAAATAAAAAGTTCAGGGAAGAGAGAAGGCACCGGCAATTATTAAGGTTCAATCAAAAGTGAAAAAACCTACTTTTCTCCCCAAAAATTGTTCTTGAGAGTAACCAATAAACTTAAAAATTTTAGTAGGTTGTACTATCTAACCCCTTATATAAGAAAAATGAAGTTTGTGGCTAACTTCCAACAAAACAACAAACACATGAGAGAAGCGATGAGTCTTCCTTTCAAATGATGGGTCAAAGTTGTTTGTCTCCTTTCCTTAGGATACTTAGAGCGGTTAGTTTTCTACCTTCAAACAAACCTTGAGATATTTTAACACCGGGATGAGCTTATGAACCTAAGCATAGTTTTATATCGGGCTAACCAAGAACCTGTGAGATTTTACCACCAGGTTGATCACGAACTGAGACCATCTTTTAACATCGAACTGAGCTTTAATCGAAACTTGGTTTTACTGTGGGCTAACCAAGAAGCTATGAGATTTTATCACACGGTGATCTCAAACCTTGAAAGCTTTTAAATTGGCTGAACTTTCAAACCTAAACAGAGACTTGATCACACAATCCTCAGGCCAAAGCTTTTTACGGGTTAAGTTATGAACCTAAACAAACAATCCCTAAGTGGACAAAATGTTCAAACAAGAAAAAAAAACTTCCTCGGCGAACTTACAAAACTACTCTTCTAGAATTACATCTTCCTCACTCGCAAATTGACTTTCTTGAAAAGCACTTCGATTAAAACTTTAGTGAGAGAAAATAAACAAAAAGAATTTTTAGAGAGAGAGAGAGTAAGAAGTGAGAAATGAAATTGTTTTTTGGATGATTTTAAATGTGTGAAAGGTCTATTTATAAGCTAGAGGTTGGAAAAAGAAAAAGGAAAAAAAATAAAACCAATAATAATGTGTCAATCGATTGACATCATGTCTCTATCGATTGGTAAGCATGAGTTAATCAATTAGTAAGCTAAAAAAGTTAAGAAAAGATATTTAGCCATTGCTAGTGATTAAGGTGTTGTCCTAATCGATTAGAGCGTATTTTTTTAACATCTCCAATCGATTTCCATAAGGCGTCAATCGATTGGAAAAAGCAAAATTTTGCCCATATCTTTTATGAATGTTCCTAACTTACATGACATGACTTTAAGGAATTTCTAGAAATGTTTTCTTGAGAAAAAAGTTTGAAAACATGTTTTTGTGTGTGTGTGATTTAGCCATGCACTTTTATGAAAAATTCTTTGTACTTTTACAATGTATTCACTAAGACGTGTCGAGGCAGACATTCATATTCTTTAAAACTTGACATATGCTTCATCCTTACAAACACTTTTTGGAGTTTACTTTCAGATAAGGCTTAAGTTATATTCCATTTGGTTTCCATCATTAGAGAGTCAAGTTCATCAAACCCTAATATCCTAGTTTGCATCTTTAACCTCTTAACTGTTTTATGCTTGACTTTAGTTGTTTTCATTATCAAGGGAATACTCATCTTTAATAGTTGTCATCATCAAAAGCATGTTATATGACCTGCAAAACAAGGTTCCACAATATATGCATTTGCAAAAGAATCAATATTTTTAAATAATTAAGTATGTCAATTGGTTTATCAATTTCAACACGTATAATTTCTTGTAAGATATTGAGTTATGTAAATAAATTTAATTCATCAATATCTGAGTTTTCATTATATTTCAATAAACGTTCAACATTAAGACAATATTATTTTAAATTTTCATTATCTAATGACCTTATTTTCTCAATGCTAAAAAGAAATCCAAAAATATCATCATAGAATTTAAATTGTTCAAACCTAGTTTAAAAAATTAAAATTTTGAGGCCTAAAGAGAGTGCTTTATTGGCCTAAGGGTTTAGACGACCCTAGGTAAAACCAAGCTCACGTGAGGTGAGGGACTCTATATTTTCAATAGTATTTTGTGTGTATCAGAGTTGTCCTTCCCCATGATAGGGATGAAATATTTATAGAGACTTAGGGTCTTGGATTTTGGATATTCCTAGGATGTAGTAACAATTTCACTGACTAGGGAAGCTATTGAATACCTATTCTTTAGGAATCGTGACCAAGACCTCATGCAGATGCGATTATAGGTAATGCACACATGACCCCCATGTTCTCCATCAGGGAGAGTAGCCAGCAGATTGAAGGTTATGTTTAGGCACTATAATTTAAGGTGAATGCCTCATGGTATTTGGTCTTATATCGCCTTGTCATGGACCTTTACAAATATATCACTATAGAGTCCTTTAAGCACGATGGCTTTATAAAAGGTGAAGTGTTTTATATTCATCATTCCTTTCTATTAAATCTCTCAATTGAGGGGAAGTAATCAATTATGGGAGAGTTCCTTACTTATAGTCATCATTTAAAAGTGATTCCTTTAGTTATAGTCATCAGTTATAGACGAAACCCTTTGTTAGGGGCGATTCTGTGTGATTTTGTGTTGCGATTCTGCGTAGGAAAGAATGAACTTAGTTTTGTTTACATTAATCAGGTGAGGTTGAAATGATGAAGGAAAGATTCACGAAGCTTCTGCTAGGAAAAGACATGTCTGGTGGAGGAAAAGGTGTTAGCGCAGCAGTTACAATCTCCAATTCCATTATAAATCTCTATGGTAATTCCTTTATGCTTATAACATTATCCATATCATAATGCGATAAATAATCGAAATGCTATTAGTTTATCAAATGAGTTGTAACTGAACTTGTTTGAATTTGAATTTCTACAGCAACAATATTCGGACAGAGTTTAAAGTTGGAGCCGCTGAATCCCGAGAAGAAAGCCATGTGGAAAAGAGAAATGAAGGTTCTTTTATCAGTGTGTGATTACATATGAGAATTCGCCCCGACTGCGCAATATTTAGAAGATGGCACAATTCTGGAGGTGAGATTCGTTTGCCGATTAGTATATCAGTTGTTATTATGTCAGTATTTTCTCCTTCGCCTGGTTTGAACCGTGATCCTTTATGTCGACAAATGTTTTCAATGCTTAGCTCGAGCCGGCCGAGCTAAATAATAACTAACTCTAATGACACTTGTTTTTTAGTTATATTTGATATCGTCTTCTCTATCACATGATGAAAAGAAGACCAAGGTTGAATATCTATATAAACCTCCCGGCACTGCAGAAGCTGGACACAATGCTTATAGTAAGAAACACCGCAACTCTTGCATGTAAGAACTCGTTTTTTCATCAAGTTCGTGTGGCTGATAAGCACGAAAACTTTGTTTGCAGGAAATATTGGAATCTTTTGAGGATACTAAGTTCTGGTATGCAGAGAATATATCATCAACTTCACCTCGTTTGCGTACGGCCTCTTTTCGAAAGATTGTTCCAACGAAAGACGAGAAATGGTGGTTGCCAGTTCCTTGTGTTCTCCCTGGTGGCCTCTCAGAGAAGTCAAGGAAGCATCTAACTGAGAAACGGGACTGTGCTAATCAAATTCATAAAGCCGCAGTGGCAATAAATAACAACATTCTCACAGAAATAGATATTCCAGAAACATATATAGACGATCTTCCAAAGGTTAGTTAGTCCTCATTGTTGAAACTTGAGATCTCTCTTGTTTCTGAAAGTTTTGATCTGAAATTTTCTATTGAAATATCAGAATAAGTCTGCACTTCTTTTTTCCAGCTGAAATTCTATTGCCAAGTGATTGATGATTCCTTAGCATTAAAGGGGGGAGCGTTGTTGCCTATACCAGATGATGTTTCAGACGCAACAGAGGTGGGAGACGCAATAGGAGCGTATGTTGCATGGCCGACAAATCTCATTTTCCTAGATGATGAGGTAGGTTGAACCTTGTAATATTCAAATGTTTTATGACCATACATGAAAGTTATTCTTAAATTTACATTATCTTATTTACATGATGATCTTAGACTCCCTCAAAATCCAAATCAAAAGATGATAGAATTATTGTGCGGGATACCGATTCAGCTGCATCAAAGAAACAGGTACTACTACAGTTACATGATTATCTTAATATACATTAATTACTGAACTTATATATGACTTTTAGGTTCATGATCAGCGGTCGCAACAAGTCAGCAAGGGTAAGATGCCTGAAACTTCCAAGGTGCCCAACAAAAAAAAGGTCAAGCCAAAAAAAGCATCTGTTCCTCGATTTAGGATGTGCCTTGAAACATATGTAGGAACAACAGATGTGCCTGAGGGTGGCATCCGTCAAATACCTATGGAGGAAGGTATTTTCGGTTTTGAATATCCTGAAACAATTGCTAAGGAGGATTTTGACCAGGTTTTCACACATTCTGAATTGGGTGTCGGTGTTATGCATTCCTACATCAGGTACTCTGATGCATTTTATTTAAATAATTGAACATTTAAAAATTTGCTTGTTTAACTAAATATTCTAATGTTGATTATGTTTTTTTAGGCTCTTGTATGACAAGTTGTTGGTCCCGAATGATTTGACTTCAATATTCGCATTCTTATCTGCTAGCTGTATCAACTCACGGACAAAAGACCAGACACCAGATACAACCAAAGAGTACACAGTCCAGAGATTTATGGGCACGACTACAGAGAAGTTGTTCTTGTTGCCATACAATACGGGCCATGGGTTAGATTTTATTCTAAATTCATTTATTATAATTGTTCGATTTTTGCCATTCTATATAACATTTCCGTCTAAACTGTTGTCTTATTTTATACTGGACACTGGTTGTTGGTCGCGATTAATCCGATGAAAGAAATAGTCTATTATATAGATTCATTGGATGACGATACAAATAAATATAAAAATCTGAAGAACATGGTTCATACGTAAGTGATGAGATATACTGTTCTGAATAATTATATATCTTTATTTATTATGTGACATTGTTCTAAATATGCGTTTATATTATGTTAGAGTTATACAAATATTCAGAGCACAAAGAGATGCAACCGTGCGAAAAAGCAAGGCTAACAACATCAGTTGGATCAGAGTGGAGGTATATTTTCCCATGTTTGACTGTTATAGTGGTTCTACTTGATCAAACTATTTCAACTATATATCCTGATAAATGTTCGTTTGTTTTCCATTTACAGTGTCCTCGTCAGCGCAATGGGATTGACTGCGGATATTTTGTATTGCGCTTTATGAAGGAAATTATTTTTTCTGGTTAAATTGAGATTCCAATCATGGTATGGATCAATTAATAAGTTATATGATTCATTTTGATAATTAACCGATATTTCATCTGAGTAATTAGTTTTAAAATTAAATCGTGCATGTTCTGTTATATTATGTAGCATTTTTATGAATTCAAGTGCGGTACTTACTCGAAGGCAAGATTGGAAGAAATTAAAGAGGAATGGTGTCAATTTATTCTTGAGTTGAGAATTGCATAATTGTATAAGTCGTATCTATTTGTAAAGTTAACGGATTTGTAATTATATGTAAATTGATTGTATTTGTGATGTTGTAATTCTGAAGATCGGATTGTGTTCTAATATATTTAAGCAGGTTTATGTGTATTAAAATTATTATGGGCAAAGTGATGAATTACAATGTATATATACTTAAAGGCCAAAGTGTTGAATTGTGTATATAAGGCCAAAGTGTTGAAATAAAGGGATGAATTATATAAGCAGGGAATGTAATATAAGCAGGTTTATTGAAAAATATATAAAAAATGTGATTATTCAGAATTTTTTTTCCTTCAAATCGTGCACATTAGACAACACTTTTATGTATAAGCGCTGCTAAAGGGGACAGAGAGAGTGCTAATAAAGCGCTGCTATAGGTGGGGAAAGGGGGTCTAAGAAAGCGCTTTAAAAAAGCGCTTCTAAAGGGGGGTCTAAGAAAGCGCTTTTAGAAAACGCTGCTAAAGGGGGTGTCTAAGAAAACGCTTTCTAAAAGCGCTGCTAAAAGGGGGGAGGGGGAGGGGGAATAGGCAGCGCTTTCAAAAGCGCTGCTAAATGTGCTGCTAAAGGGAGCCTTTAGCAGCGCTTTTTCCATAAAAGAAGCGTTGCCTTTACCTTTAGCAGCGCCACTTTAGGCAGCGCTTTAAAGCGCTGCTAAAGGTCCTTTTTGGTATAGTGTATGGTAATTGTTTTATCCTTTCTGCCTCTATAAGCTTGTGGTCCTTACTGCCTTGTGGTTGATTTTCTTTGTGAATGATGTATACTTTAGTGAATTATATGATGTCTTGAATTTCATACTTATTTCACAATTTCAATCCAATATTTTTTCATAGTTGCTCCTTCTCACATATGTTTCTAATCATTCATATTCTTTCTCTTTTTATGTGCTTGCTATGTTAATCATGGGGAGAGTGAGAAGATTCACAAGCATCCCTAGCATTGGAGGATTGAAGAAGACTTGATAAGGCATTTTGGGAATATTGAAGCGGACATCACATTGGAGCTTGTTGGGGCTTTAGCTTGATGAAGAAAATAAGGTATTGGAAGCTTGATGGTGTTTTGAAGAACTCGAGTGAAGAGGGAGATCATGGCTGTTGCAAAACTTATCATCTTAGGCATTGTATTTTAGGTTCAAGTATTATAGAACTTTGCAACATTAGGTTGTGCTCTATGCTACAAGAAATAACTTGTATTTTACACTTGATCATCCTCGAGTCTTAGTTTGCAACTCGCAACTTGTAACTTGTAAATTCAAATGACTAATGAATTTCCCTTCAAATGAATCTTGGTTCCTTAATCATGTAATAGTTCGAACCCAAATGAACTCAAATATTGGCACGCAATTACCTAGATGCCTTGTTGTGGAAATCATGTATCAACACTACTTTGAACTCCTTTGGACATTTTAATTTTATATTTTAGAACCCTCTTGTGGCAACTTTTTGACTTTGGCTCACCATATGTTTGCAATGTAATTGGGAAACTTCTTAGTATTGCTCTTGGAATTGCACTTTTAAATCCATGGCTGGGCTCCATTTTAAGTTTGAAAATTTTTCACATGATTTTTAATTGGAAATCTCTGATGTATCAATTGAAAGAAAACTAAATTTTAGATTGACTTTATTGTAGTCATGTTTTTTTTTTTTGAAAAAAATGGTTTGGCATAAACCTTTCTCATGTCTTTAAATAATGGCTATAACTCTCCTTGAAGCGAGCCTTGAAAGTGAGTTTATCACAAGCTTGAAAATGACCCAACCTTAATTGAAAATTTAATCATAAGGTTTATATCAAACCTATAACTAATCTTGGGCACATAGAATCACTCAATCATGGCCCAAAAGGAGAATTGTCCAAAGTTTTGAAGTGAAACCAATCTTGAAAATTTTCACCCATATCTAAGGAAACAGATTCTAATCGTGGCATTAGATTAACTTAAAATATGACCAAGAGTTACTCTTGATGTCAATCATGACTTGAAACTTGCAACTTGAAATAACCTCATTTTCAACATAACTTGGATTGAATATATGCCTTAATGACCAGTCGGCTAATGAGCCAAACCTTAACATGAATCAATCATAAAGTTTGGACAATTAATTATATCTTGACCAATTGACCATGAAAGTGAGGGCATACCTCTCCTCTTGTCTCCATCTGACTTCAACCCATTTACTAGAGCATGTGATCACATTGAGTCGAACTAAACTTTCATGATCTAAAAAAATATAAAAGGTTATGGCCTAAGACCAGATGATCATTTAGAGGAAGATCATGAATCCACATAAATGCTTAATATAAGAGAAAGAGTAGGTATGACAAATTTGAGATATGACAACATGATACATTTTTACTAAATATTCCAAAAATGCTGATAAAAATGCAGAGTTTATTGGATTTTTCAAAAACACCAATATAATTGCATGTAAATTATGATATTTTATCGGATATTTCGAACATGCTGATAA